TGCACCCGGACCAGGGATCGAACCCACAATCTCAATACGTGTCCTGACTGGGAATCAAACCCGAAAACTTCTGGTACTCAGGACGACACTCCAACCAATTGAGCCACCCTGCCAGGGCTCAGCCGAATAGTATTACTACTATGAGGATCCTCTGATGCTGTCATATGTAATTGTGGTCTTTCTCAGCAGTGGCCTGTGTTCATCATCAAGCTCTCCTGTATTTGTCCTTGTGGATAAAAATGTTCACCACCACATGACATTTTCCAAGTCTTTTATTCAAAAAGCATATAAGTGACATATTTCTCTGGATTGGGGATAACTTAACATTTACTGACTGGATCATTGTACCGTCATTCAATGCACCCTGATATTCAGTCTTGCCCCAAGTTAACCAAACCACTGGAGGAACAACAATAGAGAGCGGGCCTCTCCTTTTTTATTTCTTACATTCATCGTCAAGCCCTAGTTGAGATGCCAGTGCCCAATCCCCTTACAAAACAAACAACAGCAAGAGAAATGTCAAGATGTCTATGTTAATGAAGCAGCCACTGTGGCCCTCTCAACCACCTACCTCTACTTGAAGGGCAGGTGCTGTTCCCTGAGCCAAGGGAAGAGCGACCCCTGGTGTCGGAATGCACCATCTGCACAGGCTTTGCTTGGGCATCAGCTCTGACCTCAGCCTACAGAGCTTCAAATGAAAACTAGGATAGAAACCAGAGCCAGAAGGAAAAAGTGGAGGAAATATAAAAGCGGTTCGCAGATTAGCTGAGATGTTCCTGGATTCGTAACATTCATCTAGAGGCCATGTTCTGTCATGAGAAGAACAGAGGCTTGATGACACAGGACCTGATTCTGCTGGCTCTGAGGGCTGTTACCTAGGCGACCGACCTCAGGCAAGGAAGCTGCTTGCACTCTGAGCATCAGTTTCCTCAGCTTTAAAATGGGGATATAATTCTTACCTCACAGGATTGTTTGGGGAATACAATTAGCACTGTATATGAAAGCATCTATTATACTATCTGGTACAAGCTAAGTGCTCAATAAGCAGTGTTTGAGCCTGAAATTTACCTAGGGAAAAGTTAAGAAAGAAACTTTCCTTTACCATCCAAGTATCCTTTACCAGATACTCAGTATCCTTTACCAGATACTGAGTTAGCAAATTAGCATTATATTTCATTCCTTTGGTGTGTGTATTTGATTTAAATCATCAAAAGCTAGGCTGCCAAAGAAAATATGCCATTTAATCATCTTCGAATTCATTTCATCTTAACATAACAGAGTGTTTCACACTGAAAATGTAGCAGGCATTATCCTACTGTTTCCACTGGGACCAAATGTGCACCAATGAAAAGTTATAAGAAGGCAGATTTGGATTCAACATTAAAAGGACCAACTGGGGCCTGGGCTGCTGTGCTGCACAACTCCAGGGGACACGATTCATCTACGCGACAAGGCAGACCACAGGCCTGGGCTGTGCAGGGCCCAGCTGCATTGCAGTCCCAGAACCCCAACTGGAGTCCCTGTCTTGGGCTGGCTCATGAAAAACGAAGTTCCCTATCACGGAATCTGTTCGATTTAAGGCAACATGACAATAATCAAGGATGTAGAAGAAATGGTTCCCATTTGGATAGGAGTCTGACTAGACCTTTTCAGTCTTTTTGTTTATTTGTTTGTTTCTTTGTTAATCCTCACCCAACCAGGGCCTGGGCCGCGGAGGAGCCTGCAACCAAGCTACATGCCCATGACTTGAATCAACCTTGACTAGAATGTGCAAGTTTTCATTGGTGCACATTTTGTCCCTTTGGTCCGCAGGCTGACGCTCTATCCACTAGTCAAACAGGCTGGAGGGACCTTTTCATTCTTACTTGGTTTATGAAACATTTCTGGAAAATCCACTGGACTTCAGATGCAGGCCTCAGTCCAGGGATAAAATAAAATGAATAAGACACCATCTCTGCCCCAGGAAAGACAGCAGTCCACTCAGGAAGTTGTGCTCCCCACAGTAATATGGCATCCTGACATGGTAACAGCTGTCCCCTTCAGTGGCAGCTGAAATTGCATAGCTGTGCCTTCTGCTTTTAAGATTAAGGCTTTCCTTTTTTTCCTAGAAATATAAACCTGTTCTTTTCTTCTACAGATTTGATGTCCGTGGTTGTGGACACACAGTTGTAACTAAATGAATCTAATTTAAATTCTCAAATGTATTGATTTCAAGAAAAGGTCGCTGCAGTTATGAAAGAGACGCTGAAGAAAGTCTGACTTCAGTGACAAGGATCCTTTGATCTTAGAATAAGCGGTTAAGAGAAAAAATCTAAAACTTGTTGTACATAGTATAGATTAGCAATTTTGAACTGGTGTGCCGCAAAAGTTTTTAGAACATGCAATACCTGACTAGTCAGGGACACTGACCTCGTTTCCGTTAGATTGTCAAGTAAAAAAATGACAACAGCCACCCGGCCAGCGTGGCTCAATGGTTGAGCATCAACCTATGAACCAGGAGGTCACGGTTCAATTCCTGGTCGAAGCTCATGCCCAGGTTGCAGGTTCAATCCCTAGTGTGGGGTGTGCAGGAGGCAGCCGATCAATGATCCTCTCTCAACATTGATGTTTCTCTCTCTCCCTCTGCCTTCCTCTCTGAAATCAATAAAAATATATTTTTTTAATGACAAGAGCCAGCACAAGAGCTGTGAATGAATCAAAACCATACTGCTGTGTTTTTTTTTCTGTCAGATCAGCAATAAATGTATTTTTGGTGTGTCATAGAATTTTAGTAATTAGTTTATGTGTGCCATGAGTTGAAAAGGTTGAAAATCGCTTGTGTAGGTAATTAATGCCTTCTGTGAAGGATACCAAAATGTTATTTTTTAAAAGTAATGAGGTATTCTGGGTAAGCCTGGTAGTCATAAAATACCACAAATAAACTTGGAGTGCTCACATTATCTGTGACAGTATCATACAGGTCAAGAGGATTTTCAGGATTCTTTGGAGGAGGTACAAGTAATGAATGATTTCCAGGTGCGTACAATCCAGTGAGCACACGTACATAATACATATGCTTTTTCCCATTTTCATCTGGTCTGGAGTAAGTATCATGGGCAGAATAATTGGCATGGACAGCAAAGTAGGATCCCTTTCCATATGCCACAGCTGTGAAAAGAAAAACAACATTTTTAAGAATTTCAATTTGTCTATAATTTGATGTATTGACTCAATATGTCAAATAATGTTAATATAATGTCCAGTTCTTTCTAAAGCCTCCTTAAAAATAATGTGTGTGTGTGTTTTTGATTTTTAAAAATCATTCCTCCACCTCAAAGGGCCAGTCAGCCCCTTTGGGAGGAAACATAGTGAGTCTGACCTGAAACTTAGGCTGCCCCCTGGCCATGAGCCATGAGGGAACACAATGCAATCTGAGGGACCCCTGAGCCAGCTTGGCTTCTCATGGCTGACACCTCCTTTGGAGCAGCCATGTGACTTACTTCCTTACCATTCTTTCCTGCATAACTGCGGTTAAAGCCATGTTGATTGACATGTGGCAAGGAGTCAGCATCTGTCCCATGGAAGAGCAGCTGCTCATTTTGTGTATTGCCATTCTTGTCATCCATGGTTTTTTTCTTTATCTGGTAGGACTGCCAGAGACTTGGATTCTGGATTCTCTCAATCTGCAAATCAATGAGGAAAAACATTCTGTCAGTGCCAAGGGCCTGTGGAAAGATACAGCAAATGAAACATGGTCCCTATTTTTATTTAAAAAATATTTTTATTGATTTCAGAAAGGAAGGGAAAGGAAGAGAGAGAGAAACATCAAGGATGAGAGGGAATCACTGATCGGCTACTTCCTGCATGCCCCCTACCGGGGATGTGCCCGCAACCAAGGTACATGCCCTTGACCGGATCGAACCCGGGATCCTTCAGTCCCCAGGCCGACGCTCTATCCACTGAGCCAAACCGGTCAGGGCAAGCTTTTAAAATTTTAGAGATGAGTCCAACTCATTTTGCAGTGAGTATACAGAGACCAAGTGATTAAGTAGCAAAATATTAAAATATTTAAAAAGGGAAAATGGCAAACCACTGAACAGGAACAGACCATGCGAGCAGGGCCAACACTCAGGTCTCCTCACATAGGAGGTTGTGCTTTCCTCAGAATTTGCTTAACTAGATGAAGGTGGTTTAGAAAATTGTCACTGAATTCAGCTATCCCTGTATTTAACAAAAGTACTGTCTTATTGTCCAAAGCTGAATTCTGAAGTTCAAATCTAAATCTGTTGTAATCCAGTGCTTCACAAATCGGGCCTTGGGGGAAAAGTTACTTTAATTTTTCACATCTTTTATGCACCGCATGCAGCAAGCAATATTTAGGATCTTGGATGACCAAGGCAGCTCAATTCCGGCTTCTTACTTTCACTGTAATTACTGCTCCTGTTGCAGTCTATCCCTCTTTGTCCATTAGCCTCTCTCCTCTTCAGTCTTTTTAAGATATTGGTTTACCTAGCCAAGTTCTAACCACAGGAGAAGCACTGGAATGTCTAGGCAAGAAGGAAATTAGTTAATGGAATTTAATCTCTCATCCAATTGGAAGAGTGAATGATGAATCCTGGAGGCAGGGAACCTGGCTGTAGAACAAAGTGGCCATGCTTTTTCTTTTCTAATTTATTTTTCAATTACATTTTATATTCACTACCATTCTCTATTAGTTTCAGGTGTACAACAAAGTAGTTTAAGAAAATTAGGTACTTTACAGAGTGGTCCCCCCGCTGCGTCAAGTACCCACCTAGCCCTATACCCATTTATCTCGATATCATGGACTATATTCCCCACACTGTAATCTACACCTCTGTGGCCATTCTGTAACTAGCAATTTGTACTTCTTAATCCTTTCATCTTTGTCACCAGGTCCCCCAATACCCTCTCCTCTAACAGCTATCAGTCTGTCCTCTGTATCTATGAGTCTGTTTCTATTTTGTTTATTTATTTTATTCATTAGATTCCACATGTAAGTGAAATCATATGGCATTTTTCTTTCTCTGACTTATTTCACTTAGCATAATCCTCTAGTTCCACTCATGCTGGCATAAAAGGTGAGATTTTCTTCTTTTTTATAGCCCAAAGTAGTATTCCAATGTGTAAATGTACTGCCACTTTCTTAT